TCAATGGTTTTTTTTTCATAGCTCATCATTTGTTAATATAGTAAATATAATATCCAGCACTTCACTAATTCTAAGGATCTTTGCAATAAATTAGGGGAGGTACATACCGTATTTATCGGCGTATAACACGCACTTTTTTTCCCCTGAAAATAGGGGGCAAATGATGTATGCGTGTTATACGCCGATATAATGTTAAGAAGCCTTCGGTGAATGCTGCTGGGATCGGGGATCAAGGACACAAATGAAAGAAGGGGAGGGAGGAAGCAACCGAAGCCTGTCCTTCTCTCTGGGTCAGCTCTCTCAGTCGCTCTCTCGCTCCTCCACCAGCACAGGAAGAAACTGCTTCAAAGAAGCGGGGGGGGGCTTTTCCTGTCGCCTCTCCCCCACCCCCACCCCGTCCGCCCGCCCGCCCGCCCGCAGTGCTCCGTTCTGCCTGCCTGCCTGCCTTCGTTAATGGTTGAATCGGAACAGCTTCGGCTGAGTAAAAGAGGCGAATAGTTATTATTCTCAGCCGAAGCTGCTCCCAAACAACCAGAAACTAAGGCAGGCAGGCAGAATTTTTTTTAATTTTTTTTCCTGAAATTTCCCCCTTAAAATGAAGATGCGTGTTATACGCCTGTGCGTGTTATACGCCGATAAATACGGTATATCCCTGATATAAAGTACACAAAACAAAAAGTCTAGGAGCACTGTCTGACATCTATGATTTAGACTTGGTTTAACAACAAATGAGTCTCCACAACTATTTCTGATCATTTTTTTACAATCTGAACATAAAAATTAACTGTGATGTTGGCACTCAGATCTTGCCATGCTGTTGATGATTCAGGTATCTCTTTCTAAAATATTCTTTAAAAATTTATAATAACAAGTCTTACCCATATTAATATGATGTAAAAACTTTTTTTTCATTTTTTAAAACTCAAGGAGGTTACCATCACAGAAACAAAAAAAGTTGTCATATTATCAAAACAAGCCACCCTGCAAAATATTGGCTGCAAATTCACTAGCTGGGACTAAATTATTCAGACTTTTGAAAGGGTAGTTTGAAAAGCCAAAGCAGTTAGAAGGAGCTGGGATATATAAAAGGATCAATCAGAATAGAGTACTGGGCCTAAGATCTTGTGGTACCCCACTGCTTGCTTCCCTCCATGTAAAGGTAGTACTATTAAGGACTAACTCACTGAGTATGGTTTATCACCTAGTTACAAATCCATCTGGTGGTGATGCTGTCTAACCCACATTTTTCTAGCTAACCAAGAAGTAAGTTGTGGTCTGCTTTGTTGAATGTCTTGTTGAAGTCTAAGTATACTTTATCCATAGCATTTCACTGGTCTATCAAGTTAGTCACTTTATCAAAGGATGAAATAAGATTGGTTTGGCATTATCTGTTTTTAAGAAACCTGTGCTGGCTTTTAGTTATAACTTTATTTGTTTCTAGATGTTTGCAGATCTGTTTTTTGATGATTTTCCAGTATCTTTCTAGGTATTGATATTAGGCTGATTGGTCTGTAGTTTCCCAAGTCTGCTTTTATTCCTTTTTTGAAGAGGAATCAGCTCTTTTTTAATCCTCAGGTAATTCCAGGATTTTTGAAAGATATGGTACAATGATTCTGAGATAACACCTATCAGCTCCTTCAGAACTTTGGGATGCAATTCATCAGGTTCTGGTGATTTATATTAATCAAAATCAGATAGGTGTTCTCTGACCATTTTCTTGCTTATTTTATTTTTTTATTTCTAGTCTGTTTTTTATGGTTAGGTTTTTGGTAGGTTGGGCTATATTTCTTTTTGCATGAAGACTGATACAAAAAATGAGTTAAGCAGTTCTGCTTTCTCTCTGCTCCCTGTTACTTCCTTGCTATCTTCTCTCTTTAGTGGACCTTCTATTTCTTTGACTTTTTTCTTGTTATTTATATGTTGAAGGAAACTTTTTAAAAATTATCTTTGATTTTTGTTGCAAGCCCCTGTTCATTTTGAGCTTTTGCTTTCCTGACTTAATCCTTGCAGATTTGGGCTATCTGCTGATATTCTGCTTTAGTTATGTGTCCCTCTTTCCATTTTTTGTATTTGTCCTGTTTGTCTTTCAGTTTATCAGAGAGCTTTGCTTGTGCAACTATGCTGGTTTTTCTTGGATTTCTTGCTTTTCTTTTTCAGTGGTATTGTGCTGGATTGGCTCCTATGATCATATTTTTCAGAGTTTAACAGAATAACAGAATGGTAGAGTTGGAGGGACTTTAGAGGTCTTCTAGTCCAACCCCCTGCTCAAGCAGGAAGCCCTATACCATTTCAGACAAATGGTTGTCTAATCTCTTCTTGAAAACCTCCAGTGTTGAAGCATTCACAACTTCTGGAGGCAAGTTGTCCCACTGATTTCCCAGGCTTCTTGAGTTGTTTTCCCTTTTTGGAATTTCATCCATGGAATCTTTCTTAGGCTCTCTCTGAGTTTGTTAAAATCAGCTCTTTTAAAGTTTAAGACATTGGTTGGATTATGTTCTATTGCTTGTGTTTACATTATATTGAATTCCAATATGAGGTAATCACTCCCGCCCAATGTTTGCAGCAACTTCAATTCTCTCTGTCACTTATTCTCTGTTAGAAAGAATTAAGTCCAGTACAGCTTTTCCTCTAGTTCCCCCCTCTACCTTTTGGATGACAAAATTGTCAGCTAGGTTGGTTAGGAATCTGTTTGATCTCCCATTTACTGCAGAGTTTGTCTCCCAGTTGATATCAGGATAGTTTAATATTTAATATCAGAGGAGACTCAGGAGAGCTTTGTTGAATATCAGACCCACAAACACATCTTCCTTGTCATATTCAGTGTGGTTGGAAGGAGGACAGTGAACAAAACATATTGATGAATATCTAAAGGGAAAGCCAATTAATAATCCACACAGCCTAGTTTAGCATTTCAAGGGTAAAAAGCAGTATGTTGAAATGAAATAAACAAGTTCTGAGATCTCTTATTAAATTACTGACAAAGCACTGACTCAAAAATGATTTGCTTTTCCAAACTTACATTTGCTTTTTTCAGATTTATAGGTCCTGCCCTCCCCATTCCCAGCCTCCTCAGCCCTGCCTACCCCATGTACTGAATACATGTAAAAGAATCATTGTTGTTGAAATCCAGATTTAGTGGATATATCAATTTCATCCAGGTGAAGACATACAGAAATCCCCTTCAGGTTTTCCACTCAATATACAAGACCTAAGGACAAAATAGTGGCCCTTTTGTACAGGTAGTTTTTGACTTATGACCACAATTGGAAGCAGAACTTCCATTACTTGGCAAGGCAGGTATTAAGTGAATTGTATCCAATCTTATAATTTTTTTTGCACCAGTTGTTCAATGAATCACCATAGTTGTTAAATGAGTCACATGATTGTTAAATGAATGTGGCTTCCCTCATTGATTTTGCTTGCTCAAAGCAGACTGAGAAGTCGTAATTGATGATCATGAGACCTCAGGACACTGCCAATGTAAAAATATGCCAGTTGCCAAGCACTCAAATTTAGATCACATGACTGCTGGGACTTTGTGACATAAGTCATAAGTGTGAGAACCAGCTGTTAAATCACTTTTTTTTCAGCACCATCATAACTTTGAACATCATTGAACATATGGTTGTTAGTTGAGTGCTAGCTGTACATAGAACCAATGGGCCTGAAGTTTTGGCCCTTACATACATCACAGTTACCCGTTGAAAGAGAACACAGCCTTGCCTCCAATATTAGTTGGGAGAGCCACCTGTAGTGATCTTAAGTGCAGCATTTGTGCTGCCATGACAATGCTTGTGGTATGCAGGAAGAGCAGCAGATGGCACAGGACACACCTTGAAACACCAGAGCAGAAAAGATTTCTGATAAAACAAACCATCTAACTTGTTTGAGAGAACAGACCTTGTAACATGATAATGTCAGAGAACAAGAGATGAGTGTAAGGCAAAGAGAAAATTATTAAGATGATACAACTTTCAGTAAATGATTTTTCCACCCTAGGAGACAAGTGAAGGCACTGACTTAATTTTTTCTTCTCTGCTTTGCAGAGCAATCTAATATAAAAAAGCTATGCTGCAACAAACACACAGATGCACAAATATTTTCCGATAGCTCCTGAGAATTTTATTTTAAATTGTTTCAATTGTCATGCATTTTTTCCATCGTAATATCCCTGACTTTAAAGAGCCCATGTAGATTGTGTGAGTCTTAATGACAAATTCTCTGTTTCGCTGACATCAGATACCAGCAAATGGGCTTTGGGAAATAATATTGTTACCATAACAACAGCATCTCTCTAGCACTTAAACAACTTCATTTAATAAAAGTGGCAAAGTGGGAAGGGAATCTCACATAAATGAATTTTTATGTAAATGTAGTGAAGCAAGGTCATATGGAAAAGCAATAAAATTCATTTTGTATTTATGATGTGAAGTAAAATTACATAGACGGGGAAAATTTCCTACAACTGTTAAGTACATAGTTGACAATATATTATGTCAATGTAATGCCAGTAAGCAATTGTGTGAAATATTCTGATATTAATCACTATAATGAAAGCAGAAAGAGAAAATCTAGAGTACACTTTTGGATATTGTTAGATCTGAGGTGGATCGGTTCGAATGAGACGCGAGACCATAATAGTGAGTTCAGCTCTTTATTTAGAATAGGAACAGTCTGGAGAATACAAGCCGCGGCAGCCCTTCATATAGGGCTGGCTCGCGGCTCGGCGGCCAATGGCAGCGCTTTGAATCTCCCGCGATCGGTACAGCCAATTGCGGTAGATTCCTAGCGCTCTAATCACGGCCGGGGTTTCGACCAATCAGGTTGCTGTCCGTCTGGACCAATCGGTTGCGAGGGTTTGGAGTATGCTAATACAGCACACCCCTCCCCTCTTGGTTTCATCTGTCAGTGCGTCGTGACGTAGTCGCGCAGGTAGGCGGGGCTTCGTACCTGTCTAGTTGACTTGCGCGGCTCAGTTCCCATTTGGTTGTTGACCGGTTCGGAGGCCTTCTCTGTCGCTCCGGTTCCCAGGGATGGAACCGCCTGGAAGGTCGGGCTGGGCCTTTCTTGGTAGCTCCCTCCTGGTCTACCCGGGCTGGTTGAGCTGCCGTCTCTGTTGTTCCCGCCGGATCTTTCCGGGCTGGTTGAACTGGCCTGGCTGTTTCTTCCCGGTGACGATTCCGGGTTTGCCTGTTCTGTTGATCCTGCGTCTACTAGTGAGTAGGACCAGTTTATTTTCGGGTTATTTGTTCCGGGTGGGGGTTGTTCTGCTTGCGCTAGGGGGGTCCCTCTTTCTTTAACACTTGCCGTTTCCCCCCCCCTTCTAGTTTCTTGCTCGGGTGTATGATTGTTGGCTATTCTGGACCTCAGTTGGTTAATGTGCCATTTCCAGTTTTTCCCGTCGCTTGTTTCTAGTCGGTATGATACGGGGCCGGTTATTTGGGTGATCGTTGCTGGTATCCAGAGTGGTTCCCCTGACAGGTTTTTTGCGTATACGGCGTCACCTATGTTGAATTTTCTGTGCTTGCTGGAGGAGCCCGGGGGTTTGTCAGGGGTGTATGTGGGGTGCATTCTATTGTAGTTTTCTGCCCATCATTAGTTCTGCCAGGCTTCTATTTGTGGTTGCGCTAGGTGTAATATGTTGGATGAGGAGCATTTTATTGATTTTATCTTGTATGTTGGTTGTTTCTATTTTCTGTATGGCTTTTTTTGTGTATTGGACCATGCGTTCCGCCCGTCCGTTCGCCGCCGGATTTGCAGGCGCGGTTAACGCATGGCGTATGCCCTGGCCTGCCAGAAATTGTTCAAATGCTAGCGCGGTGAACTGGGGCCCGTTGTTCGACACTATTATATCTGGCAGGCCGTGTGTGGCAAAGAGTTTGCCCAGTTTCCTTATTACCGCCTCCGTTGTGGTTGATTTCATGGTGCTTACCTCCAGCCAGTTGGAGTAAGCGTCTACTGTGATGAGGTACATGTGCCCCTTGGTTGGTCCCGCAAAGTCTATGTGAATCCGAGACCACGGTCCTCTTGGTGTTTCCCACTCATGTATTGGGGCGGTGGGAGGACTGGGTCTCGATTCTTGGCATTGTTTGCATTTGGCTACCCAGATTTCGATCTGTTTGTCCATGCCTGGCCACCATGCATAGCTTCTGGCCAGGCTTTTCATCTTAACCATCCCTGGGTGCCCCTCATGCAACATCCCCAATAACCTTTCTTGCAATGTTTCCGGGATTACCACTCTGTCCCCCCAAAGTATACAGCCCTTCTCGGTAAAGAGTTCAGTTTGTCTGCTTCTGAAGGGTCTGAATAGTTCGTCCCTGTCCCTTTCCAGCCATCCTTTTCCAACCCAGCTTAGGACTTGCGCCAGCCGCTTGTCTTTATTTGTTTCTCTGGCAATGTCTGGCGCGGTCACTAGTGGGTTGGGTATTGTCTCTATTTGAAGTACCTTTGTTGTGGGTGCCAGGTCGTCTTCTAGGTCGGGCAGGGGTGAGCGGCTCAGGGCGTCTGCGTGGGCGATGTCCGTTCCAGGTCGGTGAACCAGCTGGTAATTGTATGCTGACAGGAATTCAGACCACCTTGTCATTCTTGGTGATCGAATGTTCGGTGTGGCCTTATTTCCTGCCAGGATCCCTAGCAGCGGTTTGTGGTCCATGATGATTGTAAAAGTCCTACCGTAAAGGTATTCGTGGAATTTCTTGACGCCTGCGACGACTGCTAGGGCCTCTTTGTCGAGCTGGCTGTAGTTCCGCTCCGGCTTTGAAAGTGTCCTTGATGAGAAGGCGATGGGTGCTTCCCTCCCGTCTGATAGCTAGTGGCTGAGGATGGCGCCGATCCCAAAAGGCGATGCGTCGCACATTACTGTTAATGGCAGGGTCTTGCTGTACTGGATTAGTATCGCGTCAGATGTTAGCAGGTTCTTTGTGTTGTTGAAGGCGCTCTCCTCCCGTGCTCTCCAGGTCCAGGTGGCTGTTTTATCTAACAGCCTATGCAACGTTTCCGCCACGGTCGCTTTTTGAGGTAGGAAGACATTGTATAAGTTTAACAGTCCCAAGAAAGCCTGCAGTTCCGTTTTGTTTTTGGGTCGTGGCGCTTCCCTTATGGCTCTCAGTTTCTTTTCTGTGGGGTGGGATCCCTTGTTTGTCTAGGAGGTACCCTAGGAACTCGATCTTCTCAGCCCGTAGCTGGCACTTCCCTTTCTTGACTTTGAGTCCCAAGTCTCTGAATTTCCTCAGTACCTCCCTCAACCGGGCTTCTAGTTGCTTTTTGTTTTTCGCGGCCACCAAGACGTCGTCAAAGTAGGGCACCACCCCTTCTATGCCCTGGAGGAGTCTTTCCATGAGGCTTTGGAAGACCCCGGGTGCCACGCTGACTCCGAACTGGAGCCGGTTGCAACGGAAAGCCCCCCGGTGCGTTACGATGGTCTGGGCTTCGGCGGTTGCGGCATCGACCGGCAGTTGCTGGTAGGCTTGTGCCAGGTCGAGTTTTACAAAGATCCGGCCTCCCCCCAGCGAGTGCAGAAGGTGCTGCACTACTGGGACGGGGTATGCGCTTTGCTGGAGCACGTGGTTTAGGGTGGCCTTATAGTCCCCACAAATTCTCACGGACCCATCTGGCTTGATGGGGGTGACTATGGGGGTCTCCCACCTGGCATGATCGATTGGCTCCAGTACCCCTTGCGCGATGAGCTTATCTAGCTGCTCATCGATCTTGGGCTTGAGGCGGATTGGTGCGATGCTCGGGTCTATATTAAAAGAGATAGGGGACCCCCGGTACTTGCCTAGGCTGTCGTCGAAAACTTCCCGGAAGTCCTCCACGAGCGCCGCTTCCCAGTCCGACTCTGCGGTGCGGTGGATTCCGGTTACTTCAATGCCTAGGGGTGCGAACCACTGTAATCCCAACAGGCTCGGCCGATCCCGGTCGACGATGGTCAAGGGTAGCACTTTGGTGTGGTTCTTGAAGGTGACTTTAAAATGGCCTCTGCCAACTACAGGGATGCGGTTTCCCTGGTAGTCTTTGAGGGTTAGTGTTTGGTCTTCTAATTCCTTGCGGCGAATGGAGGGCACCAGGCGCTTGATGGTGTGCCATGAGACCATGGAGAGGAAGGACCCGGAGTCCACCTCCATGTCGCATGGCTAGTCTTCTATCCCCACCGTCACGTATACCTTTCTGGCGTCGCTTGTGGAGGAATGGCCGACGACGATGGTCTGGTGTGTTTCCTCCCTTTGTCTTGCCTCGTTGAGCCGCCTGTTCCGACCCTCTTGGCTCCAGCGGCTCTCTGTCTGGTGGTCTTGGTATCTGGTGGGGGTGTTCTCTTGCCTCCGTGGGCTGCCATCTCGTCACTGTGGGCTGTAGTGTTTTTTATTTCTGCACACCTTGGCGATGTGCCCCCGTTTCTCGCACAGTCGGCAAACGACATCGAGGAACTGGCAGTCCGAACGGGGGTGATCGCCTCCGCAGCCGGCGCACTGGAACCTCGACTTACGACCTCGGGGTTCCCATCGCCCTCATGCTGCTTGCAGGCGGTGGATTTCCTCCTCCTCGTCCTCGGTTTCTGAGAAGGAGTCAATGTCGCCGTGGTGCGTGGTTGTGTCCCGGTGGTCGATCTTGGTTCGCCTTTCGGGGTTCGATGTCGTCTCGCCAGTCGCTGCTCGTGGCGTGATGCTCGATTGCCGCATCCGAGCTGCCGATTTCTTGGCTGCTTCAGCCGCGGCTACCTCTGTGAGCGCATCGGCGAGGGAGATGTCGCCCTTTGCCATGATGCGGCTCTGGAGAACGGGGTCTCGGAGTCCCAGGATGACACGGTCTCGCAGGGCCTCGTCCAGGTTGGCGAACTCGCACAGGCCACCCAAATCTTGTAGTGCCGCTATGAAGTTGCCAAGCCCCTCGCCCTCACGCTGGTCCCGCCTGTAGAAATCGTGCCACTGGATGAGGATGGGCACGATGGGGGCGTAGTGGCTTCGTAGCAGGGGCTCGAGGTCACCCCACTCCATGGTCTTGACGTCCTCCGGCTTGGCCAAGGCTTTGGCCATTTTAAACACCGCCGGCCCACAGTGTGTGAGGAATACGGCCTGTTTCTTGTGATCGTTGGCATCCTTAAGATTGCTACTCTCGAGGAACATCTGGAACCTATCGGTATAGGATTCCCAGTCCTCGGTAGCGGGATTGAAGGGTGCGGGTGGTGAGTTGATGCCGGCCATGCTGCTTGCTGCTGTGTGTCGCCTCGCCACGTGCTGGGTGGTCTCTTTGTCTCACGATCCCACCTTCGTCGCCAGTGTTAGATCTGAGGTGGATCGGTTCGAATGAGACGCGAGACCATTATAGTGAGTTCAGCTCTTTATTTAGAATAGGAACAGTCTGGAGAATACAAGCCGCGGCAGCCCTTCATATAGGGCTGGCTCGCGGCTCAGCGGCCAATGGCAGCGCTTTGAATCTCCCGCGATCAGTACAGCCAATCGTGGTAGATTCCTAGCGCTCCAATCACGGCCGGGGTTTCGACCAATCAGGTTGCTGTCCGTCTGGACCAATCGGTTGCGAGGGTTTGGAGTATGCTAATACAGCACAGATATTATTACTATGTTTAGTCACATAGTCAGCCAAATGTTTAGAGTGGATCTGGCATTTTGTTCACTTTTCAGGTTCTTCCCAAAGTCCTGGGATAGGCAGATGCTATTTAATAATATTAAAAGTATCATCCCAGGATGCAAGCTGTTCCAAGTAAAACTGCCTTTTGCAGTTAACTGATAATGATTTTGTCAATACCAATGGTGCTCCAGGTGCTTTGGAATTGCACCTAAGGTGCCTATTATTCTTGTACTATCTTTGCTTTCTTGACAGAGTTATTCTATTTCTATTTGCAGGTCTTTGTTTTGCGATTTTTCCCAGCTCTTTCTCTTCTCTTCTGTTTTCTCCAGGTACTTGCACAATACACCCTGCAGTTTGTATTATATGATAAGTGCTTGTCTGTTTGAATTCTAAAGCTTCTTCGTTTTCTCTTATTTTGTTTAATTTGTGGTCCCATCATTTTTTGTTTGCAGGCAAATGGCATTTCTTGCAGTTATTCCAATGCACCAACATTGCTATTTTGTCATGCCATTGTCTATAACACGGATCTTGTTAACCCGGGCAACATCTGAGCCAGTTATGGTTTTCTGAAAGATACATCTCATCCTATTTTTTATGGGAGAGGGACTGTTTGTCTGACTCCTCTGATGAGACCTGTCCAGTATGGTTAAACCTCTGGCAGAGCACACAAGCCCCACCACCATGTCAAGATAATGTTTCACTGGGGGTTGTTTTTGTTGTTGTTAGTATTATTATTATTATTAATTTAACCTTCAATTCGATTCACGGTAAAAACATAACAGTTCAAGTCCTAACCAAAGACCTAAGAGTTGTTAAGGTAGAGTCTGAATATATAGGCAGTTCCGAGTAAGCTGTTGTTTTTTTTTAAAGTCAGAATATTCAGGTCTAATAAATCCAGGATTTCCATGTATTTAGGCACAAGACACCAGGCTGTAGAGTTAGGGCATATCAACATTGTACCCTTAAGATGCTTCTGTCTTGGACTTATGCTTGACAACTGACTAAGTCAACTTTAAAAAAAAACAACTCCTGCCAGGACTGAGACACTTTGGCAACAACTTGCAAATTATATCATCCAGTTTGCAAGCTGTCACGTGTTCCCACCAAACATGCTATCCTAAGCTTCCATTCTAGGGAAATGATCATCAATTGCTTTCCTTCCTGTGGGCAGAACATATTGGAACATATTCTCCCTCCCTCCCCCCCTGCCTCTCTTTCTCTCCACATTTATATACACATAATAGCTAGTTTTGAAATAAAATTTATTTCTTGACACTCTTTTGCTTTCTTATATTCTTTTAGAGGAATTGTGCTTTAATACCATACCAATATTTCCCTGAATATAAATATTTCCCTGAATATAGAATGTTGTTGGTTTGAAAACTGACTTTTTTGTTTGTTTGTTTGTTTCATTAGATTTCTATTTGCTTCTAAAAAGGTTTAACTCAAATGCCGGGAGAAATGGTGAAATAGCGCATCAGTTAATTTATATAATTCTTTTTTTAAAAGTGGCTCAGAGAAAAAAAAAAAACAATAAATAGTTTTCTGACTTTCAAACCAGCAAGGCAATTGTTACAACCACTACACTACTGCAATATTGTTCTTAAAGTTAACTTTAGAAGATATGACAGACCATAGCAACCATTTAATCAGTTAAAGGGCTGCTCCTGTCTGAGCAATGCCCTCCAAGTAGCCAATCAAAGCACAGGAAATAATGTACTGAGGCAAAAATGAGAGCATTGCTTGAGGCAATTGAAGCAGAAAAATTGTACTTTGAAAACACAGCAGGAAAGCATCTGGAGTTCCTTTCTTTGGTGGGTGAAGGCAGAGTACAGGGCAGTGTTGTCCACGCCTACCATTGAAAACTAGTTGCTGTCCTGTCCTGTCCATGGGACAAACTTGGCAGTGAGACTAAGCCCTTAGATGGGGGTATTATAAAATCTTCATGTTCTGAAGTAACATCAGATAAACAGCAAAGGTTCTCCTAAAGTCTGCTGGGAAGAAGTCATATGTTGTTGATCTGCAATTATTAGAAACATAATATCCAATAGTTGGATTATTTCTACATTTTCAAGTTATACAGAACATTTGATAGCCTGATAACTTTGTATATCAGTAACTCATTAATAATGTAGGCTATATTCGGTCAAAAAAAGCTAATTCAAGTAAGTATGATTATTTAGTATGTGTGTTGCAATGCCAGATTAGGAAACACAAAATCTTTTGTAGAATCCTAAACCAATAGGATACAATACAGTAAAAATCCACATGACGAGTAGATGGCAGCAATAAATGAGCGTTTCCAGAATTTTTCATCTTAATATGATAAGAAAGAAGGTTCTGAACCTATCAATTGGAACTGAAAACAACATCCTTTTATGACCAAATTGGAAGATGTACAATATGGGTATTATTATCCTTTCATGGGCTATTTTTTATTTATTTAAAAGATGGCCTGATCTGACTCAAGATATTTAAAACATAAGACTGGTAAGTCTAATTCTTCTCTCCTGCCAGCACTTAGTTTCTACCCCTTGGTTTCTATCACCTTTACATCTACACGGCTTTTAAAAAACTCAATTGGCACCAATTGGACTTGCAATACAATTGGCAATCTTCAAAAGGACAAGATATGTATAGATTCTGAGGCAGGCTTAAATCCTTACTGCTCAGCTAGCATTGGATAATAAATAAGAGTTTTGAAATAGACCAATGAAAATGATGGTGTCAACTCATAAAATATTTCTATGGTCTTTTTAGAGTTGCCAACAAAAAGGGAGGGGGGAAAGGGGTTTGAAAGAGCAGTGCAGCAGCTTGGAAATCGAAAGTGCATTCCATAAATAGTTTTTCAAAGATAGTAACTAGGTGACTGAAGTTTCTGCCATGCAAAGATCTAACTGGAGAACATGATTGATGACTATGGATGTGTCTATGGATGTGTCTCATTGAAGAATATAAATTATGATGCACCCAGGGGTGGGGGGAAAACCAAGGCCAAGGATGACAATGAATTATGTGTCTCAGATTCAGCTACACCCAGGCAGTGTCGGACATGTTAACTCACAATAAATGCTTTTGAAGTTTTGGAAGTTTGGCTTGAGGCTCATGATTTAATTGGGATAACTGCCGGAATCTTGAGATCTGAATCTTGCTCCAATGGACTCACTGATACCTATGCAGTCTACACTCCTGTTCCATAAAAGCAGAGACAGGATTGGACTTTGCACTATACAAAATGTCTCTTTTGGGCTGGCATCTTTTTTTAAAATTAAATAACTCTCTTTCCATTATAACACAAATCCAACAAGTAATAGGAAGGAAGAAAAAGGGAATGATAATGGCTTAGAAGACTTATACGAGGGCTTCAAAGCAACAATACACTTTAATTCATTTCAGTTTTAGTAGGTCACCAAATTATTCATAGATTTATATAGACAACAGTTTCTGAAAACATATCCCTGACAACTACTTAGTAGGCAATCCCTTAAAACTGTGAGAAGTTGGCAGCAACTACCGTGGCTTGGTGGAAAAGAGTTGGTGGGAATGGATTCTTTCCAAAGCCCAGAAAATATAACATTACATGAGTTCTTCTTGGCAGTGTGCAAAGAGCACAGAAAAACAAGCAAAAATCCAGTTTTCCTCAGAAACCACTTTGTAATTCTCTTTGCCATTTTTATAAAGCAGAGACCTGATTTTAATTGTCTCTCCAGCAGAGAGTCATAGGATTGCATAGTCTGAAGATGCCATTTAAACAACTGAGTTCAACCTCCTGCTCAGGACAGGAATCCAAATTAAGGGACCCCTTGGTGCTTGTGCTATCAAAGCTGAATTATGAACCTGTGGAAGCCATTTTTCAGTTATTTGGATATGCACTGGGAGTTATACACATTTATTTGACTACTATAAAGGGACCCGATACCAAGAAATCAAGCTGTTTGAGGAATACTGGAAATAATAAATAAGCTTTATGAAAATGAACAGCATATTTGTTCCTCAAATTGCATATTGCATTTGATTAAACTGTACTCCCAACTTTATGCTGGTCTCATGAGCCTCTGCATTTCATCTATGTTTGCTCTCCCTTATTCAACAAGCCTGCACACGGTTTGCTTTTCAGTGCTGCTTCAAAGGTATTATTAATACCTTTGGTGATGTGGCAGATGAATATGTGATCAGTTTCCCTCTATGCCTAGATTCTAAACAAAAGCTTTTAAAAAGAAACTGATTAGGAGCAAAATTCTGGGTTGCAGCATAATGCAGATTTTCACTGGATTGATGAAGACTATTTTCAATGAAAGCAGTTAACATTATGACATGCAAACAGAATGAGGGCTCTTCATTCTGTAAATGGATGTATTACTCATTAGATGGAACAGGCTCCTTAAACAAACTGTTTTTTGCGTCACCACCACTGCACTGATTATTCAGCAAACATATGTGATAGATCTCATTAAAAAGTGCTAAGAGGGCAAGAAAGAGAGAAAACTGCATCATTATTGCCTCTTTTTAGAACAAATTAATATTTTTAATATACCTTATTTTTCTGGTCCTCACTCTGTGTCTTGTCAACAATCCTGCACCATGAAACAATCATAAATTAATTGCTGTATTGTTTTTATTCTGTGACTTGCTGCTATACACAAAATGAAATAGGCTTCATTCTGAATTTCCCAAGCATTTAGATCATGTATACAAATAACCTGGTTATTTAAATTTTGCACAGAAGCTGATTCCATGAGCCGATGAATCAATGACAGTGATAGAAACAGCAACCTTCATGGTTTGGTTATTTTTATTTAACATTTGAAGAAGAGTTCAGCTACCCTCTACTACCCTTTATATAACAATGGTCTGGAATTATGAAAGCCACAGAATGAGTGCTTTACAGCCCATAAAGCACTTCTGGATATTGCAAAATGTTGCACTGCCACCATCCCCACGGTCACATGATTGTAACGTGGGTCCTTGGAAGCCTTTTTGCATTTATAACTGATTGCCAATCACCCCACAATCATGTAATTGCCACCTGCAATCTTCTCTGCCAGCTATCCCAGAGAGTCAATTGGGAAGTCAGGAGGAAAGATGCAAGAGAGCAAAAAACGTCTGCCTGTTGGAAGGGAATTTAAGCCAGAAGGGAATGTCAGCTCCCTGTGTAGCTAAGATTTCTCCTCCCCCACTGCCTTGGAGGCAGCCTTTGAAAGTAAAAAGGCTGTTTGCCAAGGAGAGGGGGAACTCCTCTGGGAGGTTTTTTATTTTTATTTATTTTATTTGGTTTGTCAATTGCTTACAAGATAATAGGTATAAGTAAAAACGTAGTTATGAATACATGGATATATATAAGAAGAATAAAAGAAACAATAGGAAAGGGACGGTAGGCACGTTGGTGCGATTATGCATGCCCCCTACAGACCTCTTAGGAAAGGGGTGAGGTCAATAGTAGAAAGTCATGGGTTAAAGTTTTTGGGGTTTGGGGAAGAAACCACATAGTCAGGTAGAGGGGCGTGCATAAGCACACCAAAACGTGCCTACCGTCCCTGTCCTATTGTTTCTTTGTTTCCTTATTTGTATCCATTTCATGTATTCATGGATATCATGTTTATACTTATACCTGTTATCTAATAATTGTTTGACAAAATAAATAAATAAATAAAATAATTAAATAAATATAGAGTATTCCAGACATTGACCATTCTGTTGCTGAAGTCGTATTTCCTGCAATCAAGTTTGGTGCGATTAACCTTGAGTTTGTATATATTGTGTGCTCTTCTATTGTTATGGTTGAAGCTGAAGTATTCATTGACAGGTAGGATATTGCAATGTATAATTTTATATACTATACTTAGATCGGACAGAAGGCGGCATAATTCTAGGCTTTCTAGGTCTAGAATTTCAAGTCTGGTGGCATAAGGTATTCTGCAATGAGTAGAGGAGTGGAGAACTCTTCTTGTGAAATATTTCTGGACTTTCTCAACTGTGTTAATATCAGATATGTAATGTGGGTTCCAGACTGATGAGCTGTATTCGAGTATTGGTCTAGCAAATGTTTTGTATGCTCTAGTTAGTAGTGTAATATTATCAGAGAAAAAGCTACGTAAGATTAGTTTAACAACTCTTAATGCCTTTTTGGCTATGTAGTTACAGTTAGCTCTAGCACTTAGATCATTAGAGATGAGTACTCAAAGATCCTTGACAGAGTTTGGATCATCAACAAGGTCTTGACTATTCAGCCTGTATTTTATTTTCTGATTTTTTTTGCCAATATATAAGACAGAGCATTTATTTGTTGAGATTTGAAGTTGATTTGGTTGTAGAAATGGAGGTCAGATCCCAAAGATCTGGGCTCCGTTTCTGCAGTCTGCTTGAAGAGTTCCCTTCCATGAATCTTTCACTCCATCTTTCACTCCACTTAACAATGCAAAAGCTTGCTTTATAACTGCAACTGGAAGTGCCAGCATGGCAGTTGATGAACAAAGCAGTCACCTGGGCATCTTGCTTAATGACCACTTTGCCCCAACAATTGAGGTTCTGGTCCCAGTTGTAATTCAAGGATTAGTTGCTTAGCAAAATTAGCTGAGCATGTTATTTTTTAGTTAGCTCTAGTATAGTTTTTTTTTCTTAGATACTCACAACATTCAATTCTAACAGTTCACAATGACTGTATTGTGTACATAGAACAAATTACTTTAAATCTTTTATTTTTTACCCACCAACATGTCTTTTTAAACCATTCTTCATAGACTAAATCATGATTTCATGATTTACATATTGATGTCTCTCTCATATAAGGCTACCTGCGCTTTCATCTTTTGCTTGAGCCATGGCAATGGAAAAACAAACAACCGGCCAAATCTCTAGCAGTCGTCACTGAAAATTGCTGTTAATTTGCAATGACATTTAATAAGTATGAGTGAATTTTTATAAAAGCAGAACTGAATATTTTTTCTAGACACACCATTTTGCCACACACTTTTATAGGATAGATAATCTGATAAAAATGTTGTATCTGAAGGAAAAAAACCATTCAAGCTTATTTTTGTACTGTTCTTTGGATAAATGCAACAGGGAATATGAGTCCAAGAGAGAAACAGAAATCTGTTTCTGAAATTGCACAAACACGTCCTCTGTTTTGGAATAAGGCTTGAGCCAGCAACCCACTGTAAAGAATGTTGCAGCATTATTATTATTATTATTATTATTATTATTATTATTATTATTATTAT